TTGCAGTTGACACTACTTCAGACTTCATGGGTCCAGTCCTTGGGGTTTTCCAAGATAATTCAAGCTATGGCAGAGCATTTCCCCTTCAGGAGTGACGGTCTGCTCAGTGACAAAACGAATAAGTCACTGCATATCCTTAAGGATTCTCATGCAACCCTTTGCTCCTTGGGTATACATGTGACAGCACCTCAGAGAAAATGCTCCAAATCACCACCATTTAAACAGTACCCTGGTCCTCTGCCTTTTTACCACCAAAGCCTTACAAGCCTCCCAGAAAGTGCCAGAGTGGGCAGTGCAGCTGAGAGAAGATCCTTCCATTGTTCTCTCCCCAGTCTTCTGCCAAGAAACCCTGTTGATGGGACCCTCAAGAGCTACAAACAAAGTTCCCATATCACCCAGCATCCACTCTCCATTCAGTGACTGTCTCGCCTGTTTCTCCCTGGTGACGAGTCCTAGAAATCATTGTCATCAGCTATACAGTAGAATTTCTCTCTATTCCTACCATAAAAACCCCCTTCCTCTCATCCCTCTTCATGAACTCGTCTCAAGAGAGGATGCTCAGACAGGAGGTAGACTCCCTGTTTCAGCTAGGAGCTCTAGAGCTTCCTCAGCATAGTGGGAAGGTTTTTTTATTCAAGGTATTTCCTCATCCCCAAAAGGATTGGAGACTGGAGACCCCATTCTAGAGACTGAAGTGCGTATGTTCATTTGCTTTTCAAGATTCAGAATGATCATCTCTATAATTCCCTCTCAGAGCAAAGGTGACTGGCTTGCAGCTCTTGATTGAAGGACTCCTATTTTCAGATAGACATTCACCCAGCACACAGGAGATTTACAGTGGGCCTAGACCATTACCAGTGCAGAGTTCTTCCCTTCCATTTTTTGACAGGCCCTAGAGTTTTCAAGAAGGTGCTATCCGTGGTGACAGCTTACCTGCATTGCCAGTATTTCCCTACCTTGATGATTGGCTGGTTACAAGTTGATCATACTGAGATATATGATGAACAACCCTATCACTTCTCAGCCTCCTTCAATCCTCAGGGCTCCAGGTAAAACAAGAAAAGTCCCTTTTAATTGCCACACAAACGATAGACTTTATTGAAGCAACTTTGGATTTGATTACAGCCACAGCATAGTTAGACCAGGACAGATTCCAAGCTGTGAGGGACCTCATCATCCAGCTTCGACTCAGCTCTCAGATGACAGTGATGCTGATGCTGCCTTCCCCTCTTACGCCATGTGGCCTCCTGTACCTATATGACACCGTTCATTAATTTTCCCACTCATGGAGCATAGAATCCTTTGGATCACCCGTGTCCAGAGAGCCTGGTCTCCTGCCAATGTTGTAGCCTGCTCCGTAATAAGACTATAATGTGGATGAGGTTGGAAGCCATGACATCACTCCAGTGTGTCTGAGGTAGCCTGTGGGGTCTTGTCCCTCCAGCTTTTGTTGGATCAAACATATCAAGCTGGCATGGATATAGACTCTGGCCAAGCCACCTGAGCCAGCTTTGAGTCACTTGGGAAAACACTTGGAGGGTGGTTGGTCCAACACCTGACATCCTTTTGTGTAACATGATGAAATCACCATGTGCCTTCAATACATCACTGCTGTTTCATGTTGAAAGCATCTAGCTGGCACATTTTTGTGTCTGTGGTGGCCTGGATTTCAGAGCTTTATAAAAGGACAGAAGCCACTGCTGCTTGATAGATGCTATCTTAGTCTGAGTTGATATGTGGCATTGACGCCATGGAGGCTTCCAAAGAGTCTGCATAACACCCACAGGCTTGCTGATTTGATATTTCATGTCAGCAAGGCAACCTCCCTTGGTGACAACAGAGCTAAGATACTCAATGAAATCAACTTCTTGTCCATTGATTATTATGGGTAGGGGTAGAAGTCCATCAGCCACTTTTGTCAGTTCAGTCTTCTTCCAAGTAGACCAAGCCTACTTGCGTATTCTATAAATATATTCAGGGCATTGATGAGATTAGTTTGTGGGGATGTAAATATAGCTGAGTCATCTGTGTATTCCAGGTCTGTTATGCAGAAGTCATGCAATATCAACTCTGATATGCAATTAGTGACGGTTTCCCTCATTTGGTCAATAACTGTGTTGAACAGATCGGTACAGCCATGCACCCTTGATGGATGTTGTTGTTTGTTGTATTCAAAGCAGTTGGACATCTCAGTGAACACAGCTCTCACTTTCATGGTACATCTCTATGAGAAGGTTGAGGAGCTAGCCAGGCACACCAGCAGCTTGCAGGCAGAGCCCAAGGGAGCAATGATCAACAGTCAGGCAGCTTTTCAATCAATAAAGGCTATATGCATGCCTTCTCTTTCCTGGGCCAAAATTCTTAGGCTTTTTCAACAGTTTGTCTAATGGTAAAAATATGTTCTGTGGATGATTGGCCGGGCATAAACGCAGCTTGCTGTAGGTGGTATAGATTCCTTATACCAGACTTAACATGCTCAAGAAGAACCAGCATGAACAGTTTGCTTGGAATGGAAAGCAAAGTGATGCTGTGGCAATTGGCACACTAGGGCATTGCCTTTCCCTTTCAAAAATGGGAGAATAATCCCCTTTTCAGGGCTTCATCTTTGGTGTTTTCAGGCATGCTTATGGACGGTTTATTCTCTGAGACTCTGTTGCCCAGGCTGTCTCTGCTCAATTTCCCAGTGTTCTGACATCCTTCACCTGGTAGGAAGACAGAGAAACTGTATGGATAGCGGTTTCCTTTGTAGCCCATTCCAACCACAAAGAAGCTAATTATGGATGCCTCCCTACTGAATTGAAAATGCATCTGGACAAACTGTGGCTCAAGACGCTTGGTCCCAGTAAGAATCTAAGCTTCACATCAATCTCCTCAAATTGCAAGCACTACACAAAGCCTGCAAAAGGTTCCTGCTCTTCATCCATGCCCTATACATTCAGGTCATGTTGGACGGTGTGACTACAGTATATTATATAACATACAGGAAGAAGCAAGATCCACGCCTCTTTGCATAGAAGTGATCAAGCTCTGGAATAGGTGTAGCTGACTCCAGATCACCATTTTTGGCAGTGCACCTATCAGTAATAATATACACTTCTGTGGACAGCCTCAGTTGGCACTTCCACAGAGACCACAAGTGTAAACTTCATGACTCAGTTGTACAGAGCATATTCTGTCAGCGGGGATTCCCATCATGGGACCTCTTTGTGTCCCGAGAGAACAAGAAATACCCGGCCTACTGGTTGTGAGCAGTTCTGGGGCACAACTCCTGGGGGGACATTTTTCCTAGTGCAGTGTTCAGACCTGCTCATGTATGATTTCCTCACCCATTTCTGTCTTACCTTGATTTCTGAGGAAAATCAAGCAGGGTAAAGCATCGGTAGGCCAAGTGGCACCCTGTTTTCTGAGGCAATTTTGTTTCAGCAGCATCCTTTCAGATGGCTTCTTATCTGTGCATATGAATCCATTTGTGTTGGACCTGCTGACTTAGGACAAAAAAAAAATCTCCCATCCCAATCCCAGCATCCCTCAATCTAAAAGCCCAGTATTTGGATGAACAGTAAGCTTAGAGAGGTCATGTTCAGAGGTGGTACAATCCATCATCAATAATAGCAGAAAGTCTCTACAAGAAAGTGGTACGCTGCAAAATGGAATAAAATTTTATCTGGTCCCCGCATCATCTGATATTTCCAAAGGTCTCACAGATTCCTATCATTCTGTACTATCTCCTCTTTAAAATGACTGGGTCTGTCTCACAGCTTGCTGCGAATGCACTTGGCAGTGATTAATGTTTTCCGTCCTCTGGTAGAAGGCCTTGCCAGAACCTCTCCTTGGGTATTGAAACTTATGCTGACTTAGGATCTTGATCTCATATTGTCAGCGCTCATGAATCTTCCATTGGAATCTTTAGCTTCCTGCCCCTTTCTTCATCTGTCTATAAAGATGGCCTTTGTGACTGCGGTCCACTAGAAGAGTAGGTGATCTTGGGGGCCCTTATGGCAGACCCACCCTACACAGTTTTCTGTAAGGAGAAGGCTTTTTCAGGCTGCACCCTGTATTCATTAGAAAGACTCTCTCTAAATTCCATTAAATCAGATCATAGCCTACCTGGTTTCTGCCCAAAACTTCATGCAACTGGAGAAGACAGGAAGTCTCATTCTTTGGATGCTCCTCATATAGAGGACAAACCCTTCAGGAAATCTCTGAAGCTTTTTATCTCCTTTATTAAACAGATTAAATGGGAAGCAATCTCCTCACAAAGACATTCTAAGTGGATTTCAGATTGCAGCTTGCTTTTGCTATAAGCTGACAGTGAGAGCCCAGGCTAGATTCTCTTTTGGATGTTCCCCTTCTGGGTATCTGTAGTGTGGCAATATGGGCCTCTCTTGTACCTTTACTACGCATTGTGCCCTGATACAAGCTTCGTCAGCAGACACATCCTTTGGCACAGTAGTCCTGCAGTCTGTGATACAGCAGGGGTCCTGTGTCCTCTTCAATGAATACTGTTCGAGAGTCACCTCACGTGGAGTATACCCTGGGGCCCATCACATAGAAGAGAAATTCTGGTTACTTATCTTATGGTAACTGGAGTTTGAGATGTGTAATCCCTACGTGTATTCCATTACCCACTCTCCTTTCTCTCCACTTCAGATTCTTTCCTAAAGTGATTTGTGATAGAGAAGGAACTGGAGAGGTGGTTGGTCCTTGCTGCCCCTTGTGCCCTCAGCTCAGAGGTAGAGGGCACAAGCACAGACCATCAGACACTACTAATGTAAAGTCTTCCGTACTCAGGTGTATTGAGTGCGTTTGCACCTGAAGTGGAATACACATAGGGACAACATGTCTCGATCAATTACTGTAAGGTAAATAATCAGAATTTCTTTATCATTTTCAGGCCTTTTAGGGTAATTAAAAGAACTGATTTTCCATTGCATTTTTTTCCTTAAAACAATATTGGTAGTTTTCCTTGTGTTATCTAAATAAGATTCTTTCTCTTTCAGCTCTTAGTCCGTGCAGGTGCTAAACTGGATATTCAGGATAAAGATGGGGATACTCCCCTACATGAAGCCCTGAGGCATCATACTTTGTCACAGCTTCGCCAGCTCCAAGACATGCAAGATGTGGGCAAGGTAGATACTGCTTGGGAGCCATCAAAGAACACAGTAAATAAAATTTGTTTATTACTTTCTTTCCCGTACACCTCTTTCTGTAGTCTAGTCTGAAGATTCTGTACTGTTGAACTGCTTGTTGTCAGCACAGATTTATTTAGAGACATTCTTCACCAAATTGCAGGGCCATATTAAAATCAAATTGTTACATATGCACTTTTTTATGCTTATTATTATTATTTCATTAACTCATCTGTTTTAAAGAAAAAGGTGTGTGTGCCCAAAAATATTATCATAGACTTGTCTTTGGTAGTGAACTTGTATGAGTTCCAGGAATTTGGAAGAAATTATTTTTAATAGAAACAAATGAGCAGTAATATAGTACAGAGATTAAGAATAAAATATGCTTTGATTTAACATCTTGCATGGCTTTGTTTGTAGCTTTCATGTATTATGTTTTATGTTTTGTGTTTTAGCTCTAAAACTTAGAGAAATTATGCAGGTTATTTGCATTTAGCTGTAGCTTAATCATGTTACCTAGTAAGTTATATTTGTGTCCTGACAAATTCATTTCAGAAGTCCATTCTGATGCGGCTGGTGTCTCACCAACTATGAAAAACAAGGATCAAAGTTAAATTGTTAATGCCCAGAAAACTAAGGATGGTCATTGATGTTGGGGAGAAGGGGAAAGAGATAAATAACGCAACTATCTTATTGTGATAAAATTGCAGTTTAAATATTATTACAAGGATGTAAATCCATATACAGTAAATGGAGAAATAGGAGAGATCTTTCTAAAGGCACGTCTTCACTGGCAACATTAAAGCGCTGCCGCGTGTAGTCGCAGCATAGTGCTGGGAGAGCTCTCACAACGCTCTAAAAATGCTGTCTCCACAAGGGGAATAGGTACCAGCGCTGGGAGCGCTGTCTACACTGGCACTTTACAGCGCTGAAACTTGCAACGCTCAGGGGGGTGTTTTTTCACACCTCTTAGACTGAACTGGCATACCTTAGTACAAAGAATAATAACTACGCCTACTAGTGATGTTATAATTAAGGCAAAGGAGGTTATTTAAATTAACTTACACTTCTTCCTGATTAAAAAAACGACGCACAATGCTTCTGTCTAGAGATGAATTTTTTTTAAGTTATTTCTTAGACACATCTTTTAAAAAGTCAAATGCTCTTGACTGCTATATTGCCTCATTTTAGAAAAATTTTATAGACTAGTCCTTTTTGAATGTTAAGTGCTTTGGTGATTTTAAAAACAAATCACATTTTAAAATGATCATTTTGTTACCATTGGTTTGCTATTGTGTGTGTATATTTGTCATTGTGTGTACATTACATTTCAGAAATTTTTGCTTTTATTGCACTTGATGCATAAAATATTTCTACACATCCACATATCTGTAGAGATACTGCTTAACACATCACTGAGTGATGTGTAAACATGCCATAGTGTAATTATAGGGTGCCTCAGTCAAAATTCTTGACTCTTGTTTTAAATCATAACATTACAATTCAGTTTTGCTTTGAAAAGCATTCTAGACAGTATAGTAGAACAATGTTTTTCTCAGTGACTCTAGCTCAAACTTGCTCAATTTAAAGTTAAAAATAGTTGGCTTTTTTCACCATGGCCAGTTCTGCTAACTCACCTGGGATCTGAAAGTCGGGTGGAATTCTTTCTTGATCATGCAACTTCACCTCTATTAATAAAGAATCTGTGGGACCAAACGTACACCAATTGCGACTCCCTCTCTTGATTGATTAAAGCAGAATTTCCTCCCTCAGTTACTCCTGTAAACCCTGCTAAAACAGTAGGGTTTTGTTGGTATAAGATTGAATTTTACCTTGCAATTGGAAGTAAAATTTTTGTTGCTACGGAAACCAGGAGTAGAATTCATACATCACATTCATGTCTGTGTTGACTCTGTAGGGCTAACAGATGTAAACAGAAGTAAAAACTATTTTCTGTCGCTAAAATATTTGATTCAGAATATACCAAAGGGTCAGATTTGCTGAGTAACAAAGTGCCTATTTTACGTAGTCATTTTTTATTGTAATTGTACATAATATTCCAGAGACAGTTTCATTTAAACAAAAGTTTTATAGGAAAAAAGGCAGCTATTCAAAACTCTAAATTCACTGTACATCATTAAAAAGTCAACATTTACTAATGTACCAACCTATATAAATAAGATAGGGATGTAACTGTTAACTCTGAAAATCATCTGTGTGATACTTAATAACTTTTTAATAGTAACCACTGTACAAGTAATAAAAGGAAGCAAAATTGGATGTATCAAGCAGGCATACCTGTCAAGATCAAAAAGTTATGAATAGGGCTATTAGGAAAAAATACACATTCTTAACTCAGTTGAAGTATACTTGCCTGAGTGTTCTATAGAAGGATTTGAAATACTATTTTTTAATGAATATTTACTGTTCCTCCTAAGTGATTGGCATATGTAAGGAAAAGTTGGAGCAGTATTACACAGAACTCCTCTTAAATAAGTGGGATAAAAGAACAATAAAGGGTCAGTTTCAGTTCCGTGGTCTGAAATGAACTTTGTGACAAGTTACTAAAAATGCTTTGTGTTTGAGAAGTTACATCTGAAGTAAGCATACAGTAAGCGTGACACACATGAATGTTCTTTCTCAGATTCAGCGCTGCATTGAATTGGTTTTTCAGTGACCACCCCTTTTCACTGGCAGCATCTGCATGAAATTGAAGCTTTTTTTCCCCCCTTTCTTTCTTTCTTGGCTACCAGTCTTCTCCTCCTCATCTTAAGATTTCCTGGTTAAGTCATTCTTAAGAGAGGTTGGGTTGCCAAACTATTGTATTCCGTAGTCTTCCAATTTCTTTGAGTTGTGTACTTCACTTGGAAGTAATATATTGTCAGAACAGAACTTAAGGTTTTTTTTTTTTTTTTTAAAATCTTGGTTGAAAGTTAAGCTCATAAATACATATTTAAACACCTAAATAAGTGGTGAGCAACCAGCAGCAGCTCCCACTGAGGTCAGTCATGGGTCTGGGCTTTTCCCACTTATATTTACATGTATCCTTTGTCACAAGAAGAACTTTTGCATAACTAAAGGAAATATTTGGGAAGCATGCAGGATGTGGAGGAGACTGGTGCTTACATGCAAGGATTTTGTAATCTTGCTTGAATTGTCCACTTCATATAATGAGAGCAGTACCCATTTGAGAAGTCTAGCTAATGCATGCCTGGAAACTATCTTGAATCATTCTCCAAATATTGTTTGATATTGTTAATCCTGCAGAAATGTATCAAATCTAAGGAGGCCATCTCAATGCCCATCTGTTATTGCCTAAATAAGGCTAATATACAATAATTAATGTACGTTACAATATCAAATAGTTTAGGTACAGCAGAAGGCTGGTGTTTTCTTATTTCCTCTACTATTAAAAACCAAATTTAACTGTAAATTATTGTTTCAATAACAAGCCTTTTTAGGTTCACAGTCTACCCTCATGAGTGTATATTGCTCCCATTCAAGTCCGTTGGAGTTATGTGCACGCATGTAAAATATATGCAAATTTTATTGTATTGTATTTACTGGAGTTTTAAGGCCATCTCATGAAGAATTTGTATTATATCTTTAAGTAGGATAGTAATATGAATACCGAAGTTGGATTAAAACCTTTGAAAGAAGATTAATTGTAATCCCAGAATTTGGCCTTTTAAGTAGTAGTGTTTGCAACATTATTACATCCTCCCTCACATTAGGACAATGACCACTAAATGCTAACAGACAACATTAAGTTGCATAAAGTAGATCTGTATTTCTTGATTTTTATCTGAGAAATCTGATTTTTAGTAACTTCATTGTTAAAATCATCCAATAGCTGCTTTTTTTTTTTTGAATGTGGGCCATCAGAGACTTCTGTAGCCCATATTACACAGTGAATCTAAGATTTAAAAGATCTTCGAAATATTTAGAATGAAAAGATGATTTCTTGCTCCACTGTAGCACTGAGGTTAAATTAAAGTTTTAAAGCTGTCAGTCCTTTGAGACTTCAGTGTGACTTCAGTGTCTGTAAAATGGTGATCAAGATATGAAATGTTACAACTGACTAAGCTATTGCAGAAGCAAGACTACAGTTACACTGGATGCTGTAAGTCTACTTTGAGGTAAAGGGTCTTGGTTTGTTTTCCCCACATGATGCGGTGGCCAGCAGGTTCTCAAAAAAACAAACAAAAACCCTCTTGATGTTCATGGAGCACATTCACCTATTTCTTTTCCCATTGCTCATAGTGGAAGTTGTTAATGTGAAAAGTTTATTTTACTAAAATTAAGTGTTCCATAGCTGGCTGTTTTATAATATAATATTGTTCTGTTATTGTATTTGTTATAATAGCGACCTTCATGTTTTACTCAGTTCCCAATTTACTGATGTTTTATTCAATTCAAAATAAGTGTCACAGTAGAAAGGGAAATCACTTCCTCTTTCATTTCTGCTGTTTTTCTTCCTTGGTACTTGTGATGTTATCCTTCTAGTTCTCCACCTGTCCATAGTCTTCCAGGATAGACATATTTTCAATGTTAGGTTGTGTGTTATTCTAGTTCCTACTCTGCAGGTTTTAAATCTATAGAAGATCTTTATTATCGAAAGGCTGAAGTTTGCTTAAGGTGGCATAATGGATCCACACTCACATTAGATAAAAGGCCTTACATTCTTTCCCTTAACTGTTTGGTCAAAGCAGGATAATTAGAAAAACTGGTATAAAGAAAACTGACGGGAATTATGTGCTACCATTAAGCTTTGTGACAGAGTTAGGGTTAGATTTGGAGAGCACTGGTTCTGTAACCCCAGAATACAGGTGCACAGAGATTACATTGTGTTTTGAATACTTAGATGTTGTTGCCTTTAATGAATTAGTCTGTGCAGGGAACTTATCTGGTTGAAAATTGGGTAATTGTACAATGATTTTCATCTTAGAACTGCAGATAAGCTAAAAATGCATGCTCAGATATAATCAAACTACTATTTAGAAAATATATTCTTATATATGTGCACATGTTAAATGGTCTGTTTTCCTTGAGTAGTAAGACTATATTCTCAAGTATTTAAATAGAGAATCTCAAGTCAGTTGTCTATTTACTTTCTTTCAGTTAATAATGGGACTTGGTACCCAAGGAGCAGAGAAGAAGAGTGCAGCATCTATTGCCTGCTTTCTGGCAGCAAACGGAGCTGACCTCAGTATTCGTAATAAGAAGGGTCAGTCTCCTCTTGACCTCTGCCCTGATCCTAGCCTCTGCAAAGCATTGGCTAAATGTCACAAAGAAAAAGTCAGGTTTGTATATAAATACAATATGGAATTTCTGAGCATCCTGTTTACAGGTCTTCATTTCCTTGGGATAGATCAATTGAAGTAGAATTAAAAAAAACCAATAAGTCTCTTTTTCAATTATTAGTCATAATAGACTACTGAAAATCAAGATAAAGGTAAGTAGTTATATTCTGCTGCATATGTCTTGAATGTTATTTACAAAATAATTAGTTGAAACTGAGGTCAACGAATTAAGTACAAAATGAGCATCAGTACAGAGCAAGCTTCCCTGTTCTGCTTGAGGCATGCGCAGCATGTCCCTCCTCATCTTATAGAGTAATTCTATATCCATGCCCTTTCAGTGTTCTTTCTCTGCATCAAGTACTGATACTTAAAAATAGTGGGGCATGGAAGTAGGCTATCTTCTGGGAAGTAGACTGACTTCAATATTTTATGTATGCCATCAGCCACCCATTAAATAGTAAGTTTCCAGTTCCTGCTTGTCCAGGTTAGATTCACATTAGTGATTTAGAGGTCAAAGGCTCCTTTCATTAATTCTCAGATCCATATAGCCATCTCTGTTGAGTTGTACATTTTTTATCTCCGTATTCTGATTTTTAAATTTCTAAATAAAATGAAAAGGAAATTTCTTATAAATTGTCTGCCCGGGTTTGGCAGGTATTTTCTTCTCAGCCTTCCTGTCTGCGTGGAACATGAGTCATTTGGCTATTTTGTTTGTGCACAAGCACCTTTATTGGTGTAGTTAGCCCGCTGGAAGTAAAGTTTTGTTTAACATGTGCTCCCTCTGCTGGGTGTGCAGCAGCATAGAAAAAAAAAAGTCCTAGTTCAGCTGTTCTCAAACTGTGGGACTGGAACCCAAAGTGGGTTGCAACCTATGTTCCCTCTAAGCTGTTCAGCCACGCAGCTGCCTATTAAGCCCAGCGCAGGGGTTCAGGCGCCCCTCTCCACCAGCCCCAACTGCCGCTGCTGTGGGAGAGGCGCCCCGCCCCTTCGGCCCCAGCACCGAGGTGCCGCTGCTTGGGGAGAGTCACCCCTCCCTGCTGACCCCAGCGCCGAGTTGCCCCAGCTGGGGGAGAGGGGCCTCTCCCTCAGCCTGGCCCCAGCACCAAGCTGCTTTGGATTTGCTGCGGCTGGGGGAGAGGTGCTCCTCCCTTGGGCCAGCCCCAGTGCCGAGGTGTCCCAGACTTGCAGTGGCTGGGGGAAAGGTGCCCCTCCCTCAGCCCAGCCCAGGTCTGCTGGAGCTGCCGAGGAGAGGAGCCCCTCCCTCAGCCCAGCCCACCCTCACTGGAACTGCCGCAGCCAGGGAGAGGCACCTGTCCCTTGGCCTGAGCTACTGCACTGAGAGAGGGCTGGGGGGAGTTCTCTCTCCCCACCATAGCCAATGGGCAGCCTGCACCCCCCACACCTCATCCCCAGGCCCCACTCCAGAGCCTTCACCCCTAGCCGGAGTCCTCATCCCCTGCACTCAACCCTCTGCCCAGCCCTGAACCACCTCCAGAACCCCTCATCCTCAGCCCCACCCCAGAGTCTGCACTCCCAGCCAGAGCCCTCACCCGACTCCAACCCTCTGCCCCAGCCTTGAGCCCCTTCCCACACTCCGAATCCCTTGGCCCCACCCCTACCACATGAATTTTGTTATGTGCACCAATATGAAGGTGACGTGTGTCACATACCTCCATATGGGTTCACATAACAAAATTCATTCCGCACATGGATGTAAAAAATTAGAGGGAACACTGGTCGCAACCCCATTTTAAGGGAGTTGCCAGGGCTGGCTTAGATTTGCTGGGGCCAGAGACCCACCACCCGGGACCAAAGCCTTAGGGCATCAGGGCTTAGGTTGCAGGCTCCCTGCTGGGGCTGAAGCCCTTGGGCTTGGGCTTTGGCCTGCCTGCCCCGGGCAGTGGGGATCAGGCTTTGGCTTTGGCCACGCCACCCCGGGTGCTGTCGATCGGGCCCCCAGGCCTAGATAAATATTGACATAAAGATGGGAGTAGAAGTGTTCTCTCCTCATACACTCTCTAGATGCGTCTCCAACCCACTGTTTTCAACTTTTTCTGCAGATTGATTTATCCAAGCATGTAGCTATGCTCCTGTCAGCCAGAAAATTACGTTGCTTGTACCTCATGTAAAATTAGAACTGTAATCTCCATACTGATGACACTGACCCCCAAATGCCTCAGCAGCTTTACATACAAGTTAACAGAAGGGGTGATACAATCTGTGCACAAACTAGAATGAGTAATACACATAAGAAAATGACTCGGGGCTTGAAGTACAGTATGATTTACAAAAGTGTTTTCAGAATATGCACAAAGTTGTAATGCTGCCTTAAGCCTGACTATGAGGTGTTTTTTTTAGTGGACAGGTTGGCTCTCGAAGTCCGTCTATGATCAGCAATGACTCAGAAACTTTAGAAGAATGTATGGTGTGTTCAGACATGAAGAGAGATACGTTATTTGGCCCATGTGGACATATTGCTACTTGTTCCCTCTGCTCACCACGGGTCAAGAAATGCCTCATCTGTAAAGAGCAAGTCCAGTCCAGAACAAAGGTACTTAACACAATTTTTAATATTCCCGTTGTATTCTTCCTGCAGTTGTGATTTTTTTGTGAAAAGAAGAGACTGACTGTACTAACAAACTACACTGTCTCAGCTGCCATGGTTTCTCTCACATGTCTAGTTTGTCAGTGGTTAGAGCAGAGTGCAGCATTTATCTGATATCGCTTCTTGTTGCACATTGCAAATGACAGGGTTAATGAGGACAGAGACAAGAATTATCTGTCTTAGGGAAGTGGCAGCAACTTTATTATAAGAATTCCGAAAGGTAGTAATCTTAAGGGGGGAGCCACAGCCACCCAAACTAGTCAGCAGTCTTCCACCTTTTCAGTGCTCAAATTCAGAGCATCCTGACACATCCAGGCCTACCAAGAATGTCTTGTACCATGGCCCCAACTCCATGGAGACCACTGCCTGATCTATCAGGCCTCATACAAATGCCTTGGCCTCCATGTAAATCGAATCTCCTTTTCCAGCAAAGTGTGGCTTACACTATATTTACATTAAAGGTGCATGATTTCTGTGGTGCTGGGAGCATCAACCAAATCCCCCCGCCACCCCCTAATTTTCTCTCTGTTGAGAGAAATGTAGCCCATGGTACCAGGATCAGCCACCGGACGTGTAATCCTGTGAATTGAAGACAAAACAGTTATATTACGTGCTTATGCAGTCACTTCAAAATCCAAAGGTACCTGCACAGTGCAAACCATGCAGTTGCTTCAAAGCCCAGGTGTGCCCCCGATAGCTGTAACTATCACCCCCCCTCCCTTAATATGACATATAGCAAGCTACCTCATGCATACAGAGTGTCAAACTGATAACATATGCCACTAGTAAGCCTGAAGGGGGGGGGAAGGGAGGAGAGGAGGGGCTTTAAAATGGTGGAGAGTGGTTCAGAAAAGCTTACCTCCACCTCCTGTTGTCTCTGTGGGTGCCCTTCCCCCATCAGCCAGACAGCCCCACCACTTGTCACACTGGGAGTTGATCAAAGGAGGTTTCCAGTTGCTAACGTGTGTTACGAAAGCAAAAAGTACACCAATTACTTTACTTTTCTGCATAAGTAGTTGCTCTAGTTGTCACAAGGATGTTGTATGAATGGGAGGAGTGGTGGTCCGGGCATTCATGAATCAGTAGATGGGTGGTCCGTGTGACCATTTCTCTAAGATGTGGTTCACCCTTGAGAAAAGTTGAGAAATCCTGTCCTATACCACTTTGTTGGATTACAGCAGAAAGTCCTTCTAAACTAATTGAGCACCGTACAGCCAAGAAAAATGTGTGTACCAGCCTGGTGGCCTTATTCTCCTAGCTGGTATGATTTATAATTCCTAGATAACCAGTAATGCAAAGAGCATAAATATTGCCAGCTAGGACTTCTGGATACAGATATGGTAATCTCCCATTTAAATCCCACTTTTAGGTGGCGAATCAACTCTGTTTTTTCTTCCTAAATAGTTTTGTTGTAGCTAACATGGCACTAAGCAGAGCTTGTTAAATTCCCTTTGCCCTGCTAAGGGGTGGAAGTAAGCAAATAGATATAAATTGAATAGATACAAAAAGGAAAGGAATCTTTCCCGTGTTATTCCTTACTGTTCTTTTCTGCAGATTGAAGAATGCGTGGTATGTTCAGACAAGAAAGCAGCAGTACTCTTCCAGCCTTGTGGTCACATGTGTGCTTGTGAGAGTAAGTAGCCTTGGCAGGTAATACCTTTCAAAATAATGATCATGCAACAAAAGATGTCTGTTAAAAATAGTCACTAAAAATTCTTTTAAAACGTTGACTTAATTGCAGGCTATTCAAGTAAATTGACTTTGGTCTGGTAATCAGAGCTTTGACGTTACTTGGAATGCAGTAAAACCACCTGCCTGTAATAAAGTTTAATTATTTGGAGGACAGATAACAGAACTGTAGCTGTTTAACTGGAAAACTGAGAGAGGAGATTTATTTCACCTACCTGCATTATTTTATTCTGACTGAGTTGTGGTAGTCAGAGTCCTGTTGTACATTTCTGTAAATAAATTAGCATTCATTTTTTTTTTTTTTGAGATCTTTAGAACACATGTGATTCCTTTGACAGTTTTGTGAGGGCATCTAGCGGTGTAAATATAATTAAACTTTAATTGGTATAGAAACCAAACAATTTTTTAAAAGACATTTATGACTAAACCTTCCATTAACACCACATACAAAGATTCCAGCAAGAGCTGTCTTTCCCCCAAAGATTTAGAATGGAGCATGTTTGCAAAGAGAATCTGCTGCCACACAGATCACTCTGATGTGATGTGATGTGTATGGTACAGAAACCGATGAGGAGAAAGAAAACACTTAAGGAGCCTCCAGAAACTTTCCCCCCTTTGTTTAATAAGATGAGGATGTAGTGATCATTTTGTCACCAGAACTTTCAAGAATTTTTGGGACATCTTGCTGTGGCTTTGCTGATGGTCAGTTGTCTATAGAATATTTATTTGTTGACATTATGGAGTTACATAAGAGAGGGAAGGTAGTCCTCCCCATAAACAGTGGCTTAATTGATCTTGCTAAGGAAATCTGGCATTATCTCTACTGCATTGATGTGACTCAGGTCTGACATATTCACTACCTTCACAGGCATCCAGCTCCAGACTCTTTGCATTGTGTGCAGTGGAGAGAGCATGGGTGGGGGAAGAGAGCTTTTCGGTTAATTCCCCAGAAGGTGGATAGCAAGAAGATAGATTACCATGGTGAAAGGTGTGATCATTGAAGTGCATGTTGCCAATATCTGCTTTGTATTAGGAAGTGAAGGTTCTAAACATGGAAGAGTTTTTTCAGATTATTTCCTGTCGCATTTGAGGAAGGAAAGTAAGTCTGCTGAGTGAGAGGGTTAATGTGTGCCCCAGCACTCACTGAGAACTGTTTACAACTCTTACATTGGGTCCCAGTACAGTGTTGCTGCAATCATGTGACATCATTGTCTTCTTATAGAATTCCAGCCTTTCTCCTGTAATGTAAGCAAAAGATACAGATTTACCCTTCAAAGGGTTTGATCTTTTTTGTAGTAATTACTGATACCCATTTGCCCATTGGATGTAAGTGAATCAAGGGATATTTTTAGATAGAGGGAGAAAGTAGGTGTTTTCCCATTCATACACTTTCTTTGGTATAGCTTTTTAAAAAGGTTAAGTGGAAAATAGAAAAAATATTCCAGTACTGTTAATAAGGTCACGAAAGCAGCTGAAGTAAAAACTGCCAGTCTGTCCTTAATTTTCACCATGATTATCAAAAATCTCAGAAATGCACATGATCTTACATTTAAATTCTGCAGTACCATTGTAAAATAGAGGTAATTAAAGATGAGGTGGTATTTATTCCAAATTGTGGATTTCTTGCTCTTGAAAGAGTAAGTTTGCTTGCAGAAAAAAAATCTATTCTTTCAAAATGCACTAAAATAAAAAAAGACAAACAATATGAATTTTTGTAGGTCACATGCAGTGTATTGTTTATAGATTCTTTGGGTCCTAACTAACTTTTGAATAGGCTTTGTGCTTATTTTTACATTATTTTTTTGCAAACACAGCCATTGGTGTTGTAACTACACATTATGTCATTTTTTGTAGTATATTTGTGGATAAAATGAAACGAACTGATTAAACTCATGGATAGAATCGCAGAAGCAAGAATAAAGAGACTAGCAGGCTACTGAGAGTAAATTCTCTGCTTTTCCCAGACTGTGCAAGCCTGATGAAGAAGTGTGTGCAGTGCCGGGCAGTGGTTGAGCGGAGAGTGCCTTTCATTATGTGTTGCGGAGGGAAAGGTACAGAAGATACCACTGATGACATTTGTGAGTGTTTTTCTTTTTTCTCTAATACTTCCATTCTCCTTTCATTGGAAAAAAAAAGGGGGTTGACCGTATATCCCTCACATCATCCGTTTGAAGGAAAGTTTTAAAGAAAGTAGTTTTGTGTCAGCCTTCCACCTACTGTTTGTCACTCGCTATATGGGATAGTGGTAGATGCTGTTGTAGCATAGACCATGTCTGAAAAGGGCTGTTTCAATATCCAAGAAGCATGATACCAGAAGCTGAAACATTGTAAGTGTGTATATATGTCAGTGATGATTTGAACCCTTCTCTTTAACTTCCAGAACTTCATGGCCATATAGCCATGTGACACATGGAGCAAAGTCTAAGAATTGCCAGTGAATATAATTGAAATACACAAATAAACTTACGCACATGGCCCCACACGAATTACAAATGTTAGCTTGACTTCTTGGCCTCTTTGACTAATTAGAGGAGTCCCAGTAGAAGTGGGAAATAGAACATTTTGTCTAGAATAAAACTGTCCAAATAACTTGCGATGTCAGAATTATTCAGTGAGTTCTGCCTTTTTCTGTTTGACTAATTCTTAAACAGTTTATAATTTTCTTGAATTTATTAAATTGTTCTGAGTTATTTCAAGTTACATGAATAATTTTTTGTAGTGTGTGTCTGTGTGTGGTTCATTTTATACTTGAAATTTGAGCTGTTGGTTAATTTAAATTGGAATAGCTACATGATATATTTGATCCCTGACGGGATGAGCATAACTCAGAATCACATTTCCAATGTGAACATTCAAGTTTAAAAATTCAAAATTTGCCTTTTGAAACTTTCCACTTTAAACTTGCTGTTTCTGTCAGTAAACTTGATTCCTGAACATTCACAAAGTGAATATGAAATAAGTGGAAACATAGCCAAACCAAGTTTTTTCAACAATTTGGACAAATATTTGCATGATATTTTTAGCAGTATTGATTCAGTCCCAGTCTGGAATTACCAAACAATGTAGCAATAGACACTGGGATTTTTTGCCCAAGAATTTTCACCAGTGGAGCATCACTTGTGGTTAGCAACCATGAAGGCATTCGTATAGACGGGGCTCCAGGTAGTTGCTAGCATTTTAACTGCCACAGTGAGGGAAATATTTGTCAAAAACTGTAATTAAAGCTTCCCAGTAAATTCTTTTAGTTCAGGAATGGAATTCTAGTGAGTCATAATAAATATAATTTGATTATCAAAATATATTTGTTAGAAATAATGCTTCAATAATTCAGATAAATGGAAATAGTATTTTTGTGATTAGCAGACAAAAGTAATTATTCTTTATGTTGTAAGTGCTGCATAACGTGTTCTAGGCTTTTAATATTACTCTCCTCTGCATTTTAGCAAGTGGAAACATTCCAGTTTTACAGAAAGACAAGGACAACACCAATGTCAATGCAGATGTACAGAAGCTGCAGCAGCAGTTACAAGACATAAAGGAACAGGTAAAAGTGCCACATGTTCCTTTATATTGAACACCAAAACAAAATAAGGGAAATCTGTTTAAACTCTTCAGTTCTTATTTTTTGATTAATTAATCAAAGCCATTTTTGTTCTATGAAGTAAAGATGAGCTCTAGTGTGGCTAAAGGTTTTTTGTGACTTATCTGACTTTATGCATACAGTGTTCTTAATGACATTTCATTTCTTGACCCACCTATTTTAGTGTAACTGAACGGGCATACGTGACCCAAACAATAAATATAGGAATGAAGGGAGGCAAGGAATATTATCTCTATCTTTTGACCTCATAACGATGTACAGTGAAGATATTTTTTTCAAAGAACTTCATTAAATATGGGCATTTTTCTTCACAAAACTGTACGCACTGAGCTGATGCAGGAGTTGTGAGCCTGCCTATTCAGTAACAAACCACTTTTGAACACAAGTTGGCAGTTAGGGAGGATGTGCAGTCCCAATGCATTAGCACGCTCAAATGAGAATTATATTTCTGTATGGCTACAATATGAAATATTGATAGGTGTAAAACATTGCATACATAATTTTGAGATGCAGTAATTATAAATCTTTTATTATATAGATTTTACAATATCTTAAATATAAGGCTTTTTAAATTCTGTGCTTGGAAAAGGAGGAAAATTATAAAAATCTTGGATAGATTTAGCCTTTCAAAAGAAAAATTAAATATGGATGTCTTTGCAAGTGTTAAATAGTGCTAAAATAGTGACCTACAACCCCAATCTTGTTTTTTAAATTACTTAATGTGAAATGATTCAGACAAGCAACAACTATTCTCTTTGTCTTCTGTAATATGCAAAAGCCAAAAATCTCTTAACTCCAGGTGTTAATATTTTGTACAGAATAGATTAAATATTTATTAACATGGAGGACAAATATTTTGTGTGGTGAATTATTAAATTTTTCCCCCTTCTCTCCCTTTAAAGTCCCTCCCAAAAATTGTTTTTCTTCCTGTCTGTTGGGATCATGCAACATTATGTGTCCTGAACCATTGCCCGCCTTCAGCTACACTGCAATTTTTGTATGTCTATATACCTTTGCTGGGAAGCATGCTCAGCAGCAGTGGAGATTTACCTTTAAAGATGTACTGTCCTACATTTGTCACAGTTGAAATGTTTTGGTGAATAGAAGAGACTGATGAGAACTTAATTCACATTTAAATTGTCTTTTTATCTCTTGTGGATTTAGAGTAGTGTATAATGCTTCAAAGATGGCTGGTATCTGAGCTAATCCAGACAGCCCTACCTGAAAGTTCAGAGAGAAGATTTTGAATCACCTAGTTCTGGGCCACATCTGTAAATGCCTTTGAAAATTTGAGACCTGATGTACTGTCAGATGTTAATGTGACGGGGTTGGGACTCACCACCACAGCGCCTCCTGCTGTTCACTCTGGAAATTAGCTCAGTTCATGCGGAGCACCCTCTGCTGGTGGTGTCCTGTCTGTCTCTCACCCTAGATTGGAGTCTCGACCCGCGTTGCTCCCAGCTTGCGGCGTCCTCTTCAGGACGCTGCCCTCTGGCAGTGCCCACTGCTCTGGTCTCACTCCCTTCCGGGGGTTTGGTGTTATCAGCAGTCCTTCTCTTCACCCCAGCCACAATGGCCAAGCACACCCCAAAGTCTGACCCCTTTTGGCAGGGGTCCAGTGCAATCCGTGATGGCCACTCCTAACAGCCAGGTGGAAGTGCAAGGGAGAAGGGGGGGACCCAGGCCCGCCCTCTACTCTGGGTCCCAACCCAGGGACCATTTGGTGGCAGCCTTCCTGCCTGCCCTCCTTCTCTCCCTTTGTCCGTCTCTCTTCCTGGGCCGTTTCCCCTTCGGCCCCTTTGCACTGACGAGGCTCTTTTTCTCAGGGCCCACAGCCTGGCAGGTACCGGGCGGGAGTTCCCTTCTGCTCCCCCTGCCTGCCCAGCACTGCACTGTCCCTGGTGCTAGTCTCCTCGCACAGGAGAGTGACCTTCACCCTCTGAAGGCCTGGGAGAGACCACCTGCTCCCTTCCTGGGCAGCCTTTATATAGGGCCTAGCCTACCCCTGATTGGCTGGCTGTAATACTGGCCCTGATTAGCTCTCTAACAGGCCCTCCCTGATTGGCTGCCGCCTTGCGCAGCCGCTCTGGCCTGTTGAAGCCCAATCTGGCATGGGGGTGGGACACCACCCCACCACAGTTAACCTCAGAGACAAACCTATCAATAATTGTTACCCTCACCCTGGCAACTGGCTGAGACCCTCATTATTGAAAATCGTTGTTCAACTCAAAGCAGTTTCCAACCTAATCTCTGTCTGTATAAGGACAGGTAGACTAAAAAACTATACTTCTTTCTCACCAATAACATTTGAGGCTATTAACTCTGAAAATGTTTTCAAAAATCTGCTTTTGATTATTTTTCTTTTTAATTTCATTCATTTTGGACAGTAAGAATACATTTAGTTTGTTTTTACTTTCTGGTTCTTGAGCAGTAAAGTGTTCCAATTACAAATGTGAAGTTTAAATTCAAAAATCTGTTTAATTGGAAGTGTAAAAAAAAAAAAAAAAAACCATGAAAACTCTTCTACAGAGCTTAAGGTTATAAAAATATTTCTGCAGAAATTTAAATGCTTTATTTAAATTAATGTGAGTTGATTCCAGCAATGAATAGATGTGTGTACTGGTGTGAGCACAACTGTTCAATTTTTTTTAAAAATTTCCCCTTCAGTGATTATATCTCAGTTTTTTACTTCAAATATTGTATTCAGAAGCGGTATTCCAAAACACACATTAGTCCCTACCATCCTCTGTATTTCTTTTCACACATCTTAAGAAAAGATTTTACATCAACAGGAAGTTCAGATGCGTTTATCAGTGAGAGTAGAACAGTGTCTTATTTTGTTGGGTTGATTTTCTACTTTTCTGGTCATCAAAAAGTTGATAGTGTTTAACAAAAATAAAATCTTCTTAATTTTTAATATTCTCTATTGCCTGGATTTTTGCAGTACATTTACTGCCCAGTACTCTATTTTTAGGCTGATATTAAAATATGGTCACTTAACTATTCTCTTTGCTCCTCAGCAGGATGTTTTTGACCGTATCCTAATTGACTGCCATGTCAAGTAGTTACTTTGTTGAAATGATTCTGCTTGAAATCTAGCTTGTCTGAAATTGTAATTTGTTTCTTAGGGAACTGGCTGAACCTGTCTTGTTTGGAATCTTTTAATTTGTCTTCTAGGTGACTTTTCTGTATACTGTTGTGAGAGGGGCTAATGGGTGGCGGATTCTAGTTAATTGCTATTTTTCATAAAAAAAGATTCTTCAGTTGTACCTTAAATATGTGCCTAAAGTTATACCCAGAGTTCCATTTTAAACATTTTTTTTCATTTTCTGCTTTAAAGCTGCACTCCTAATGTGACATTCAGTATTCATGTGTTCTTAAAACTTCTTATTTGTTCTTTTCAGCAGGTATACCTACGTTTCAACTCATGTCTTCAATGATAATCTAATACATTAGTGCAGCAACCTTTTAAAACAATTTCTGGTGCCAAGCAGAAGCGAGGCCTGATGTCAGCAAAGTCCACACACGATGACCACATCATTCTTCAGGGATTCCCTGAATGTGAACCATCTTTGACTGTGATTGCAGTTCCCGCCACCACATTTCATACGTAATCGCCCTCATCTGTCTGTAATAAATACCTTATATATGTTCCTTCACCATACGTATGTCATTTCTTTTTATTTAAAATTAAAGTTTTGTAATGTCACTGTGCACCTGTATCTTGTGCCTGGAAACATACTGTCATCAGTAATAAAAGATTGTTATAGGTTCTAATATGACACCCATATCAGACAAAAACTAAAATATTCTGCTAAAATTGACTTATTTGCAATATCATACCTGAGTGACAATCTCATGTTATTGCTAAGACCTTTCCATACTATCTTAACTCTGTCTCTGGATTACACCTGATTAGAACTGACTGGGTGCCTTTATGGTGGTATTTCAGAAGCAAGAATACATAATATATAAAAAGAAATCAAATACTTTCTCCAGGCACAGAATTTTCATTTGTTTCCCCCAAAAGATCTCCAGCTAATTTATTCATATAGGGTTGAGGTGATAGACATCAAATTTTGGTGCCAAAGCATGAGGCCAAATTAAAAGTATAGTCAAAATATCTGCCATTTGTTTGCTGTTCTTCTTGTTACAAAGCAGGGTGTAAGTCACCGATAGTCATGTAACTAGAGTACAGTTGGAGAGCAGGCAGGTAGGTTGATCGTTCTGTGCAAAGTTACTTAAAGCTGCTGCCATGTAAAGGTAAATAAACTAAACCATGTATGACACTGAAACGAAACTGGTCTCTACAAATAAATATTCACCGTTTTTATGATAAGCAGGAAGAATCTGGACGATCTGCTCGTGCTGCCATACAATTGAAGAAAGACCTATTTTCTGATTTGAGATGCCACCAGGGAATTTCTTCTAAATTGTGTGCGGCAATGAAATGAGTAAACAAAATGAAACAAAATTTTTACCCCCATTGCTTAGGCTGAATACACTTTTATAGAGTCCTATGATGTGCATATATATTTTCAAATTACTCTGTAGTATATTGGAGAGAAACAGATTTTTTGTTGTAATTGTAAGATATATAGTCAGACCCCAAAGCAAACTATAGGAGTAAAGAACATACAGTGAGAAGGACTTGAATTCTGTTCTTGCAAGATGAAATTTAGGGTTTACACCCTGTATCCCTTCTAAAAGGGATACTTTAGGACTATTAAATTATGTACCGTCACCACAGGAAAGCTATTTCATGTTAATAAGTAATTAATGAAGAATTTCCCCATACTTCGGATTTTACAATACTATGAATTATAAGAATGATACTTAGTTGTACCAGGTGAGGATTTGGCTTGGGTGAGGAAGAGGGTGGATGGACTGATTTACAATCAGTCCCTTGCCGTGCTTTAGTGGAAGAAAATTACATACATTTTGAATTATTGAAAATCATGAATAGATATGGTGATGCCATACTACCCCCGACAACATTTGAATATGAAATATGCTTGTTGAGAATGTATAATTTTTTATAATTGCAAATTCATTCAAAAAGTTCAAGGTCTTATCTGGCAGAGGGTGTGTCAACACTGCAATAAAAAACCTCTGGCATGAATCTCAGAGCTCAGGTCTCATTGCTCATTAGGCTGGGGCTGCAGGGCTAAAAAACTGCAGTTAGGTGTTTGGGTTTGGGCTGGGACCTGGACACTGAGACCTACCAGAGGGTTTCAGAGCCTGGGTTCCAGCCTGAGCCCTACACTGTAATTTTTAGCCCAGCGAGTCTGAATTCACTGACCCAGGCCAGTCCTGGCTATGCCACAGGTTTCTTACTTCAGTGTAGCTCTACCCAGAAGATACCTTCTGGCAGCTCCTTAGATACGGTGATTTCACACGGATTGAAATAAGAGATAATTGGCCAAATTCTGATTTTAAACTCTGTGTAAACATGTTGAAGTCATGAGCCGTGATAACCAGGAGTTTACTAAACAATGTTTGTCCCTGCATTTAGTTGATTGCATAGAAGGCATGCCTTAAATTTTACATTTCATTGTGTGGACACTACTCTGGATATGTACACCTTTCCCTGGTGTAACACTACTTTGGTAAACCTGCAGTGATTTAAAGAGTAGATCAGAAAAAACAGTGCACAAGTGCAAGGTGATGGTGAAATAAATTTGTATTTGAAATGTGGGCCACAGTTAATAAGGGTCCAATTATACATGGTTTATAAAGGGTTTACAACATCTGTTCAGTTATAAGCATGTTACAGACATTAGTATGTGTCTCAGGTGGTTATAAGTACACTATAGATGTCAGTTTAAGAACATGAGTAGAAACTCCTCAGTAGATAAAAGTTGTGGTTATAAGCAACCTGTTGATCTAACAATCTGTAACAATCGATTATTTATTAAAAATCTATTTATATATTACCCCTTTATAAACCATTTATAAATGAAACTTTAATGTGATTATGGTGAAGGAACAAACATGTGCCTTGTAGTTGAATTTTTGCATATGATATAGGTGGAGGACACTGCAGGCACAGTCAAGGATGGTTCTCTAAGGGACAAACTTTCATGGTGAACAGTTGTAAGAGATCCTTTTGGGTATTGGCCTCACTTTATGTTCAATAGTAAAAACTGGTTTTAAAGGGTTGCTGTGTGGATCTGAGTTAGGGGTAAAAAGCTCAGATAAGTTGAGCAGCCCTCCATTGAAACATTAAATTTTCACAGATGTTATCTGTATTTCTAAAAAACAGAACACATGCAGGATATGGTCCTATGCAAGTAATGATTATTCCTTTACAATTAACATTGAAAGTACAGAATTAAAGCATACATTGGAGTACACCAGTTCCTTTTCTTCAAAAAGCTGGTACCTTACCTGTTGTTGGTAAAGCTTCTGAAAATATTGAGTTACTTAAGATTCCAAATCATTGAGCAAATTACTTCCAAGAAGAAAATTGAAAGTCAGTTCACATCTATGGTGTTTAGCATGTATGTTGGGACTGTTAACTTTTTTTTAAAGTAAAACCATATTCATACTATTTCTGGGTCCAAGAGGTGTTTGGGGTGTGTGTGTGTGTGTGTGTGTGTGTGAGAGAGAGAGACAGAGAGAGAGAGAGGTAAATGAGTAGGTAGAAATTTGAGGCATGGATGGTAAATAATTTGTTCATTGAATTACATACATAAATGTCTGTGCTTGGTAGATTTCCCTGTTTCCTTAACATTGTATAAAGGAAACCAAAGGGGGATGCAACTGAAAATTGCTTATTTACTCTGCTGTGAATTTAAATGATGCCATCAGATTTGTGTAGAAAGCTACTGTGGGGTTGGTTTTCTCATTTTGTGGAGAAGGAGTTGAAAAAATTCACTTGTTATCCCTTCATGAAACATATTTTAAACTGAGGATTAAATTAAATAGTGAATTTTCTATTTTGTATTTAATGTCAAAAGGCAGGTTATTGAATCTGTTGTCATTCTGTGGCTTGGTTTCTCTATCGCAGTGATCTCTGTTCACTCAACAGTTGCATATATTAAATTTTCTACAATTAATAGAATGCATACTTGATACTTTTTTCTCACCATTGCTCTCCCCTACCTAACTTGTCAAAATCTTTTACAGACCATGTGCCCGGTTTGTTTGGATCGTCTGAAGAATATGATCTTTCTCTGTGGCCACGGAACATGTCAGCTTTGTGGAGACCGAATGAGTGAATGCCCTATATGCCGCAAGGCTATAGAACGAAGAATCCTTTTGTATTAAACAATAAAACCAAGTGTCATCTGTAGCTTATCAAATTGTCAGTACATTTTGGTCATCAAATCTCTGTAAGTTTGAAAGGCAATTTAAGGTTCTAATGAAAACATTTCTAATACTCCAATACATATGTGCTATGTTGTAATTGCTTAAAGACTAAACACACCAGAAAAGAAAACAGTATTTGAACAGTCAACTTTTAGTTGTACTATCAAGAGACAGCTAAGATAAGGCTAACTTAATAAAGCAAGTCTTTCCCCTCCCCACCCCATTAAAGCACCAAGTGTAAAGGGACAATCCTGATTTTCTGTTTTGGTATCTTTAAAGTTTTTATATGTATGTATGGACTTTAATATCAGCCATCAAGTAATGTAGATTTTGTACTGCCAGTTGCTTTCACATATTTATTTTTTTAGCTCAAGTTTGACACCTCTTTAGCGTTTGCTTAATTGTCAAATGACAGAGAAAGTTATGCCTCATAGTACTATTGTCTTGAAAGGTACAGTAATGCAAAATCAGCACAATATATCCAAGTAGTATTCAGGACCATACCATTCCTATAAGATGACATCAGAATATAACCACGTGGATAACTTTGACTGTAATGTGCCCTACATGCTCAGTGTGGGTTTAGAGGAGAATGTCAGTGGAAAGAAACACAAGTTTGCTTTAGGAATGTTATGCCCCCAAACCTGTACTTCAGTCTGACAGAATCAAATTAAACTAAATAAGGAACTTCTTAATCCTGTCAACAAAAAAACCTAATATATAGAATTGTGAGTGGAGAGTACTGATTGTTTTTCTTTACAAGGTATTTGAAAAATAAGTGTAGATCAGTTATCAATTTCACACCTAAAGAGTGTAGTTGATTAAAATATTTGGGGAACAAGTGTATAACCAGAGAGTAGGGAAATTATGGGTCTCATGATCTAAGGAAACTGGGTGATATATTTTTCCTTTGGATTCTGTAGAAATCAGCTGTTCTTTAAATCATCTTTTCTGTTGCAGACTGCATTTTTTACATAAATCAGTGTGGTCTTCTATTAAACCAGTCTTACAGAATAAATATAGGGAAACAATAGTAACAGCAAAGGAGGTAAACTATATATTGCCCATTCATCGCAATGGAGTATTAATTTCAAATCCCAGCAGTGACCATTTAATAGCTAATATTAAGCAAGGGAGTGGTGATAAGTCAGTGGGTTTCCTGACACATGGATAGGTTACTTGAAACTGGTTGTCGGAGTTAGCTAGGATTTGTATTGCACTTATAGATGCTCTTGGCTTTTTGACTACTACCAGCAGCTCCAAAACATGAGTAAGAGCACAATCCAAATGTTCTTCAGGCTTTGGTGGTGGGACTGTAGTCAGGATTTCAGGAAAGGAGTTAAATTTGGAGCTCTTACAGCCAAATGATGGCATATAAAAGCAATTCAGCAGTTACCTGAATTACTGATTGAATAGAATATGAAATCAGTGCTTGTTGTCTTTTAGCCTTGATTTGGACAATTTCTTTCAAGGATTGTGAAATACACAGTGGATTCAGTTAGGTGCCTTACTTGCAGCTAACACCGGTCTCCTTCATTTAACTCCTGTTACACATGGCAGGGACATGAAAGTGGGAATTGGTCTGGGGAAGATCAAGGTGAGAATGAAGTGATTCATAGTCAGCATTCTTCACCTGGAAAATCACGTGCTTACACAATGCATGGTCTTCTGTCACGTGCTTACACAATGCATGGTCTTCTGAAGTGTGTGATAAGCTTGTGTTGATCTTTGGAATTCTGCACACTTCAGCCAAAATCTCAGAAGAATTTACCAATGCTTTTTAAGTGTTGATCATGTAGTTAGAACACCTGTATGGTAGAAGAAAACTCTACAGTGGTTTCTTAGAAAATCAATACATAATGCATTAGCTGACAAAACAGTCCATGCCCCAAAATTTCTGATCCAACAGGTAGAGATGTTTCTTGCTCTTTTTAACTCAATCCAATCCAGTATTCTTTGTTCTGATGTTCCAGCAGTCATATATATATATCATATCTCACTCTGTGTTTGGTCATCTACAAAGCTTTCTGCTTTGCCTGGTGTTTTGAGTCCCTATTCTAAAATAGGCAGATCCCAGTAGCTTCTAAATAAAATCTTTGGTTGTCAGTAAATCTTGTCCTCAGTTTAGCAGTCCCACAACTGGTTTAATTGCTTTAGCTCTAGGAATTTTATATACTTTTGGAGTTGCAGCCTGGTTAGCTGAGGTTTCTGAATTCCAGTCTGAGAGAATTCTTACATTCTGTGTTCTTGTGTAATCAGAATAATTCTGGTATGATTTTTCCAACGTTTTTGGGGAAATGGTGTGGTAGCCCATGCTGCATACATTGCAGATTTTTTCTCCCTTGACATAAGGGTCACCTGGCTTCTGTGGTTGGTGTTGCACAGCAGGACCCTTTGGCTTCTTGTCCCCCTGTTGACCCTTCTCCAAAAGAACTGGTTCTGTCTAATACAGAGCAACACTGAACCCCTTGCTATGAATTTCATTCTCTTGTTTCAGGTCTCTGACATGGTTTTCTTTAACCCAGGGCAGAATCATTTTGAGCACTGTTTCGTACTTAAATTATTCAGAAAGGCCTCTCCATAAAGGCTCAGTACAAAGTACTTGATTAACAGTTAATCACCACTTCTGCACGATCTCTTGGTAAATGCAGTTCTCACTCAAAACCCCATTATGGTAGCTCAATGCACTACTTACTACATAGCAGTCGATATTTTTATAATATTTAAGTAAATTGTGGGGGGGGGGTTGTTTGCATTCAGCATTGGAACAAGCCAGTGGTAAGATCCTATTTTTTCATGCAATGTTCAGCTGTTTAAATAGTCTGAATTAAATCTTGTCTCTACTACAGTAGTGGGTGTTCTCATTTCATTGGGACCAGGATTTCACCCTCTATCATGTCTTTTGTGTCTGATCTTTTCAGGTTGTCTGAATTAATTTGATCCTGTGTTACCATCTGATGATGCAACTAATACTTGAACCGAATTTAACTGGGCATTAAGTATTTTCCTAAAGGACTAAATCAAGGCATCCAGGGGAGAAAACCGGTAGAAAAATGCTGAGCGTACTTCATCTGTGGAGAGCACAGATGTCAGGTGATAGAGGAGTTCAGTCGGATGTCAGGTGTGTAGGTGATAGAGGAGTTCAGTTCACAGTGGGCTTTATATTTTTCAACAGTTCCTCAGCTACAAAACTATAGCTGCTGTAAGACATAAATATATAAAATCTATGGCTATGTATATAAATAAAGTGAATAAAAGTGCTGCTCCAAGAGCTGTCCTTTCCACACCATGGTCCCTGGTTTGTCCCTATCAACACATTCAGACCTCTCATTATATATTTCTTTTTTTGTATTCAACTTGGTTGAGCAGTGTTGCATGCATGATTCCATGTCAAAAATTTAACTGGATATTATCACAAAGTCAAGCCAAATAGTTTAATTAGACAACTGCTTTTTTAAAATAAGTAATTAAGCAGTTTAACTTTGTAGCACTTATTGTTTAAGGTGCTAGTATTGGCATTCTGTTTACAGATGAGAGTTTATCCCAATTGACATTATGAAGTCAGATATAGTACTTTCAATATGATTTTTAATTGATTTTAAGAAATGTTTGCCAAAACATTGTAGCATATGTAAATAGGTGTTTAGACTTGTACACTATCTCTTCAGATTGTGATGTATGTTAAAGCTAAAGATTTAGGTAGCTTTGAAGAAACCAGCTGTATCAGACCATATTTATACAGTATATTCACATTACTTAGCAACAGTATGTCTGCAGCCTGATATTGTCTGAAAGGCTTGCATACTTCTATATGATACTTGCATACTTCTATATGATACCTTTTTTTTTTTTTTTCCTGTTTTAAAACAATCATAGGCTCAGAAGATAGGTGGGGGTCATGGCAAGTAGGGAAAGATGAGGATGGGTCAGTGTATGTCTGTGAGTGAATCACTGTACAGATTTTACTGAAACCGGGAACAAGTACTCGATAAAAGAAAAAAGAATCAGTAAACAGACAATTGGATTTAATGTACGTGTTTGAGAATTTCAGATATCACTTTTCTTATTCTTAGAACAATGCCCCAATATTAAGAGTTGTTTGGGAATGCAATTGGTTGGAGGAACTTCAATGTATTCTTGTTACACAGTCAAGAAGATATCTACATTATAGTTTATTATTTGAGTGCAAAAGTTTTTTATTATTTGGGTGTTCAAAAGTTTGCTTGAACAGCTTTCCTTTCTGTATGGTAATCAGATTAAATTAGAGATGGCTGCTATACACAATAGTATTGTAAAGGAACTATGAAGAGACCTTAATTTTAAATTTGAGGGGTCTGTACAATAAGCTAAATAGCTTAAAGATGTCAGAACTTAATCACTTAACTTTCCAGCTTTTCCCCCCCAATTATGTACCATGACTTTTCAGGCCCATTGCTTAAAGATATTCAATATCTCTTGCTCTACATTCAAGGCATTTGGCACTTTGCAGGATCTGAGTCACTGCTACATACTTTCATGTTTTGTTAAAATACTAGTTAAGTAGTTCTAGATGAGGACAAAATCCCATTTAAGAAAGAATAGGTACCCCCCCCCAAAAAAAAATTTAAATTGGAAAGGTAATAAACACAAGTTACTTTGTAAATGTGAAAATTCCTTCAAAAACTAGTTTAACTATAAACTTTGGCCAAATTGGAATATAGAAAAATTGTGTGCCTTGTTAACATAGTCTTTAAAATGTTTTTAATCTTGTTCTAAAGATTTGTGAAACGAGCTTTTCAAAAAGAATCTGATTTGATATTGCCTTTATGTTGTGATAAGAATATTCACTGATACTGTGTAGATATTACCTAGAGATGGAGTTTTACTAAGGTATGCCCTACTTATTTATAACAGTATTACTTACAATTTATGGCTAGTGTAAACACTAAATTGTTTGAGAAAGTTACTTTGAGTTATTGGTCTCGCTGAGCTTCTCTACAATATTGCAAATGTCAAAAGTTAACATTTTGCTTTGTTCGTAGTTGCTGGTGAATTGTGTAGAGCCTGGACCATAACTTGTGTTATGAAGTTCTTACAGACCACTACAATGTTACTTTTAGTAACTCTGCCTTTTTTCTGTCAAAGTGTTCAGTTCTACAGTAATTGTTCTTTACCTTTAGAACGGAGTGGGAGTTTTCTTAAACACTACAATTTAGTTTTGATACATCAGTTTTGGTGCCTGACTAGATGTGACATAAAGGATTATTGCTGACTGTATAAATAATGTACAGGAGGAATGTATCGTTCCCCATAGTACTGTACATTCCTGTTTCCCTTCCCTAAGTTGCTGGAATTCATATACTATTTTCCTTTTACAATGCAGAATGTGTTTTGTTCACAGAGTAAAATACTGTTGTCTATAAAGTTCTATTGTGTGCCATTTTTATAGCTATAGCTGCAGTAAGTATGAGGGCTTTTTAACAACTTAAACACATTCATAAATGTTCTTCAGTGCATCTTGGAGAATATTAGAGGTTTAATGGTTGTATAGTGGCCTTGATAGAACAATTGAATTGGCAGCAGCCATAGATCCTTTACAGAATGGAAGTACATATGAATCTACAAACTGGGTTTATGCAGCATAAATGTATATGTAGCATACGTGTTGCATTTATGCCATTTATTTGTCTTTCTGTAAAGGAAAGTTAGCAGATTTAGCTTTTTTATGCTTTTGTTAAGTCTTGTTTATGATAACTACATCAATAGAGCAAATGTGATAGGGCCTGAGGATGGTATTCCAAATCAGACAAATAGCTTTTGGGGGAGAGGGTGGATAGAAAATTCTACATAATAACATTTTTAGTATGAAAGGAGAATCATTTTATAAACCAACTTCTCGCAAAAATTAGCTTAATAATTCAGACCTAGCAAATCTTTTTATAAACAAGTTTGCATGGCATTTCATAGTTACGAAAGTGTAAGTCTTACTCTGGGCTCCTAGAAAGTATTTTCTTTGTCCCAAGCTTAGTTATGGATGCAACTTATTCTGTAGTAGAAATGGGTTTTACTGAACCACAACAACATTTTTTGCTTTTATTAGAAAATCAACTTTGTATTTTTGGTAAATTGTAGATTTGATATGACTGTTGACTGGATTAAATTCAAGTTGTGTGTGTGTGTGAATGTAGTTGATTTCTGTACTGCAAATAGCTTTACATAATTGCATTGATTAAAACTGCTTAGCAAGACCTAAGCTTTTCAAAACAAATGCTAATGTACCGTATTGTTAATAAAACTTATGATATAATGAGTCTCATTCTGACTTTTTTTAAACAAGCTTTGACTTACACTTGTTGCACTGAACTAACACCTATTAGAGGTTGTTAGAGGTTATGAGAAAGGGAGAGGCAGCTCATTTCTGCTCATTTGATTACAGCGTTCTTGAAAATCAGAAATCTTATTGGCATTAGACCCCAACAAAAAGTTAAAATTTTAAAATACTTTGAGAATGTAATCTAAGCAAATGTTTGGTATCTTTTCTGGGCTTTAGAATTTCACATCATAAAGCAGGCTAGGCACTATGGCTGTATAATAGGAAGAAAGCTCCTTGTCCAGACTGTGTTTTAAAGAACCAGAGTTGTTTAAATATACCACTGAACAGTGCATTTACAGCAACATGAAAAACATGGAGTGACTGAAATTGACTTGGAATGCACTAGAATAACATATTCATATAAGTAACCATCTGGTTTGTTATATCTTCTCCTGAGTTTCTTTAGAGTGTGCCATATGCATGAGAAATAAAAGGCTTGATCATGTTCTTCATATTTTAAATCTGTGTGTAAATGCACATTTTCTGTAGCTCTTTGCACACTACTGCACAGAGGCAGTAGAATTTTCATATGTTCTCCCATTTGTTTGTCATAGATGAGCTTACACAGTTTTAGCACTTTTAAGGGTGATCATTTTCATACTTCTGCCAAGTGATCAACTCAGACCTGTGCCCATGTTACAGACCTGCCTATGTAATGCAGACACTTCTGTCTATATCAAATTTCTGGAAGTTTGAGAGGCTACTGGGTATTTTGGGAGGTAAATAATGAGACAAAATCCTTCACGGCAGTTGCTTCCAGCGGACAGGTTAGCAAACGTGGAGGGTTGATATTGGTGCACTTTCAATAACATTTTATCCCTGTTTAAAAGTTATACAGAGTTTACAGTGGCATGTCCTTGCATCGTGCTCTTCATGAGGTTGAAATAGGATCAGCGTCAGCAGCACAGTATAGCTCCCCTTCTTCCTGCCTCTGGGAAGCTATTCGCTGAGGTACACCTAAGCCATATTAGAAAACAAACGAAACAAATCCCTAGGTAGTTGGCAACCAAAAACCAGTTTAATGGCAGTTAAAGTTGCGACAATAAACACCTGTCAACTCAAAACCTTAAAAGACTGGAAATCAGGGAAAAGATTTGTGCATTCCTTTGCACCTTCGTATTAGCTGACCACCTGTGACAATCTGGTCAGTTGTCCTTGTAGCCAACATGGTCAAGAGTCTCAGCTGCTGAGGTGAAAATGACCAATGAAACCTTGCAAAAGGCTATTCTGGTGTCCTGTGAGATCAATCTGGAAAGTGCTCTATCCGCAAAGAGACAAGGTCCCTTTGGGATTTGTCACGACAATTCACCCTCCATGTTGTGTACAACACTGTTGATAACACATTCCAGAAGGTTTTTTCTGCCAGCAGATACAAAAAGCAGTATGTACCTAAAATTTGCACTCTAATGGAGAACTTTAACAGTGACCTCAGGAGCGTCATGGAGTATGTGACAGTCAGATGTACTAAACTATTGATATAACTGATATAAAAGCATGTGAGGTCACTGTTAAATTTTTGTATTAGAATTGAAGATGGGGTACATATTTTGTTATCTTTTGGGAACGAAGGGTTTTTAAAAATCCTTTTAAGAAAAAGATCACAGTCACTCAGTTCACAGTCATACCTGGGCATAAACTGAAAGATCTTCCTTAAAAGTAAGAATGAAAGGTCTCCAGGATTAGAAGAGCAAAACAGAAAGAACTTCCTTTTGGACAGTGCTCCTTACATTATAAAAAGATTCAACAGGTTCTGAAGAATACATTGGGGGAGGTGGGGAAAACAGATCTTGTCATCACGCTCTGTTCAAGCCAGTGAGGTAGCTTAGACTTGGGGATTCTTGTTTGTTCTAAGAATAAAGCATCTTTGTAGTTTTGCTAATGTTAAAAGATTTTGGCTGAGATTTTCAAAGCTGTGCAGGGGATTTAGATGCAGTATGTGTCCAAAGGTTCCAAGTGGCTTTGAAAAAAAATCTGTCTTTAATCCTAAATTTGTTCTTAATTTTTAGAAGAGCAGGGGTTTTTTAGTTCTGAAACCACTGTCGTTTACTGAAGTGTTCTTACTACTACAATATCCACCTGCTGAAGTGAAGAAACCGATTGACAGAGCCAGAAGAGTACCCAGAAGTCACCTACTACAGGACAGGCCCAACAAAAAAAAGGACCAGAACGCCACTAGCTGTCACCTTCAGCCCCCAACTAAAACCTCTCCAACGCATCATCAAGGATCTACAACTTATCCTGAAGGACGACCTATCACTCTCACAGATCTTGGGAGACAGGCCAGTCCTTGCTTGCAGACAGCCCCCCAACCTGAAGCAAGTACTCACCAGCAACCTCACAACAAAAACACTAACCAGGAATCTATCCTTGCAACAAAGCCCATTTCCAACTCTGTCCACATATCTATTCAGGGTACACCATCATAGGACCTAATCACATCAGCCACATTATCAGAGGCTCGTTCACCTGCACATCTACCAATGTGATATTTGCCATCATGTGCCAGCAATGCCCCTCTGCCATGTACATTGGCCAAACCGGACAGACTCTATGTAAAAGAATAAATGGACACAAATCAGATGTCAAGAATTATAACTTTCAAAAACCAGTCGGAGAACACTTCAAACCCCCTGGTCACTTGATTACAGACCTAAAAGTCACAGTATTACAACAAAAAACTTCAAAAACAGACTCCAATGAGACTCCCTGAATTGGAATTAATTTGTAAACTGGACACCATTAAATTAGGCTTGAATAAAGACTGGGGGTGGATGGGTCATTACACAAAGTAAAACTATTTCCCCATGTTTATTCCCCCTCCCCCCCCCCCCCCGTTACTCTCACCTTCTTGTCAACTATTGGAAATGGGCCATCCTGATTATCACTACAAAAGGTTTTTTTCTCCTGCTGATAATAGCTCACCTTAATTGATCACTCTCATTATAGTGTGTGGCAACACCCATTTTTTCATGTTCTCTCTCTGTGTGTGTGTGTGTGTGTGTGTGTGGTATCTTCCTACTGTATTTTCCACTACATGCATCCGATAAAGTGGGTTTTAGCCCACGAAAGCTTATGCTCAAATAAATTTTAGTCTCTAAGATGCCACAAGTACTCCTCATTCTTTTTGCTGATACAGACTAACATAGCTACCCCTCTGAAATGTTTTATGGTACTTTAAAAATCAAGAGCAATGCCAACTGAGAAAGTAACAGTTCAGAATTGCTACAAAAATTTTCACTGTTCTACCACTGCATACTTAATGCAACTACTTATAGTGATGTGAATTCATTTAAACTTAATTTGCTGCTCCTGCCATGCACAGATTAGTGTGACATTTAATTTGTGCTAATCTGTCCAAGACTGGGAAATCCACTTATGAGGATGTAACATCTCCTTGGACATCACAAGAAATTGAAATTGCCTGTTTTGGAGGATTTCCTTTTTTAATAAAAGCCGAATATTCTGCAAGAGATAACCGTGAACTTGAATTAAAACCTGAACTTACTTTCTAGGTGGAAATTGCACACATTTGGACTGTACTAATGTGTTTTTTCCACCAGGGGTCAGTAACATCACTCCACTGTGACAAGAACCTTAGATCTTTGTGTCATAATCACAAAGCAAACAAAGTATAAGGGTAATGATGATTGCATTAATATGGGTGGACTGGACCTTCACATGTCCCATTCTCCAAGCAGGAGCAAGTATAATTAACTTATTTGCTGACTAGTAAGCAGCCATAGTCTATCCTCTGACTCCCATGTGACATGCACATTGTTACTATTGATTAGGGCAAAGTTCCAATGGAGTGTTTACCTTTAGCTGTAGCTTAAAATATTCATTTAGTCTAGCACATATTTTTTCAGAAGCAAGAAGTTGGAGCAGATAAGATTCAAACAAGACTGTCCAGTGGATAGGAGAAGGGAACACTTGATTTCGGTTTCTCCTGCATTTGTGTCCTGTATGTTCCAAAGAGTATCCCAAAACTTCATAGAGGCTTAGACCTGATTAATATTTCCCTCCACCCCTCCAATTCTATAGTGACACCACTAATGGTTAAACATGCTTTGAACCATATCAGCCTAGTCAGTGGAAGGAATGTCCAAATTCTCTAGGTCTCTCTGGGCGTGCAAGGCACCTGGAGACAGCTGTTTCAAGTGAATGCTCTTATCATTTGCACCACTCTATCCCATGGAAAGAAGTCAAGCAGACCAGACGACAAGGCTACCAGGAGAATTTCCCAAAATTTACACCAAAGTCATTTCTCAAAAAGGTGCTTGAGTCTGTTTAATTGTGAGAGGTTTTCAGTTTGGCACAGGCATCTACTTCAGATACTTCTTTGTGTGCAGTGAGTTGAGAGAGGGCTTCCTGATCTTCAGAACTCTGGGAGCTACACCATTTTCTTTTCTATTCCTTGCCTTCTCTCCATCCTCCTATTTCAGTTCTTCTAAACTCCTTCTCCAGACTCCTCAATTTCTGCCTCCTTCTGTCAACCTGTTCACTATGGGTAGCAGAATTTTTCACTCCTTTCCTCTCAAAGTCATTTCCTTGCATCTTCAGCTTCCAGCTGCCTCAGAGTGTGACTGACCAGGTGTCTTGGTATGGGCGAGTAGGACCCTCTTTCTACATATTAGTTCACTCTAAAACTGCATATAGTGAAATGTGAAATTCCTGAATTGCATATAGTGAGATTTCCCTCCACTATGAACTCATTCTACTTTTAGTCCCCTGAGAATATGACGATTGTCATCGCCCCCTCCATCTCAATGGCAGTGGTATGTAGAAGAGAAGTTAACGCTGCCCCCTGAGAGAGGGCTAAACCTAGATCCCACTGAGTTTTGCTATAGCTGCTTCCAGAGGGATGTGAAGAGGATCAGGTAGGAATGACTGACTTTCCATAGGCTGGCTGCAGTTCCCACTTCCCACTGTACCTC